GGGCCACCTCAGCAGTCCTGGAGCTGGCTGGGGATGATGAGAGCTGTAGTCAGACACCCCTGGAGGCAAGTGACTGGGGAAGGCTCTGACAGGAGGGAGCCCCACGGGCCTTCCTTTTCCTCCAGAATCACCGAAAGGGGCCCTTCCAGGAAACCTGGAAAGTGGGTTAATTCAGGAACCAAGTTACACGTCCAGTGCAGCCACTGGAACTGTCCGCCTCTAGCCCTGCCCTCTCCCAAAAGGAAAAGCTTTCCCTGCTCACATCCAGGGGCGGCCAAAAGCCAGGGGCTGCGTTCATTTTGGAAGGGGAGAAGCAATAATCCAACCGCTGAATGGGTTTGGGGAGAATGCAGACGTCGCCCAGCCCTTTCTCCACCAAAGCCACAAACTTCAGTGGCTGAAACGTTTCCTGCGAGGAAATGAAGCCTTCTAGCCTTCGCACAGGCCAAGTCGTCTTTCCCTGCACTTTGGTGATGAAAAAAAAGGACTTGGGAACCAACTTTCTCAGATGCCTCCCTTCAGGGAAGCCGACACGAGCCCCCCCAGCAAGTCCTGTGAAGGAAAAAGGCATTCCAGGGCTCGTCCGGGATTTGAACCCGGGACCTCTCGCACCCTAAGCGAGAATCATACCCCTAGACCAACGAGCCAACTGCAGAGGTACCTTGCCAGATGTTCTTTTCTGGTCAAGAGCATCCCTGCCAAGTTCAGAAAACTGGAGGATCTCATGTTACTTGCCTTCTGCGCGCGCATAATGTAGGCAGCTGTCGGAAGAATGGGGCTGGCCCGGCTTCCAAAACGGTGATCTGTGTAAGCTGTGAGCAAGCCTGGTGCCCGTATTGCTGCCCTGAGGAGCAAAACTCCCCCTTGCAGGGGACGTTCTGTGAACTAACAAGATAGTTGTTGTGCTGATGCAGCAACAGGTCAGCTACGAACCCAGAACCTCTATCTGGACATTTGATTTTTGTTTCTCTCATCTTTTGTAGCTTAACCCGTAGTGCGTGTGAAAGCAAGAGCCAACTTGTGGAGGGGATTAAGGCCTTGGACTGGCACCAGGGTCACCCAGGTTCAAGTCCCCCCTTTGCAATGGAAACACACTGAGTCACCGTTTCTCACCCAGCCTACCTCACAGGGCTGCTGCTGTGAGAATAAAATTTAAGGAGAGGGTGAGAAGTTCGCCACCATCCCCACTGCACAGTCCTAGGGAAAGCCTATTTGCAGGGGCATCCATGGGAGGGCATCACAACCATCAAACTGGGGGGTGTACCCATGCAATCAAAATTCCACCTCTTTGTACGTCCAGGCAACATGCATGTTGAAAAGTGGCAGAGCTTCGATCATGGGGGCACAGCTGCCCCCTTGCCTTTTGTGACCCCCTGTATGGATAGCCCTCCGTATGCAGAGTGCTGTTCCCATCCCCATTTCTCCTTTCCTGAGAAAACCTCCCCGTCCCTGAATTATCGGGCGTAGGTAAAGTGTTGACCCCCTCCATGTTTTCCTTCCTTTTTGTAGCCGTGCGCTACAGTCCTTTCAGAATGAGCTTCTGGAATGCTTCCAGCAAGCCTTTGAGTCTTTATTGCGCATATGGAGATGAAGGAAGAGTGACCAGGACAATATCTTTGTTTCAGTGTCAGAGAAACACAGGCACATGGATGGCAGGCTTGAACCTCCCTCTCCCAGCCCTAACCCAGCACCGGCACCACCACGCCCCACTCTCGAGCATCCACTGGGCAAGCAGGATGGCGATGGTGATGATGGTGGTGGCGACGTCTGGTTTTAGAAGTGTCATAACTACCTGAGTATTTAAATGCTTTGCCAGAACGTGAATCCTACAAGAAGCCCATCAGATACTGTATTTTCTGCTGGTGGTCCTCCTCTGAGTGGAAGGAGAAGAAGTGGTGAGCGGTCGTGGCCCCGGTTCCAAGCTGAGTCCAGCCCAACCCTGTCATGACGGGTCTCCTGAGAATCTTGAGAGCTGCGACTTGGCAATCAGGTCTGAGATTCTCCCTCGAAACAACATGGTCAGAGGAGAGCCGCGTTAGCGTGTGGTGGTAAAAAGTCAGAAGGGGTCTGGGAGCACCTTTTCGGACTAAAAAATTATTATAATTTCATCAGATGCACGGACCGGTTAGACGGATGTAGGATTTCAGCTGGGGCGAGGTGGGGGGCAAGGGAGGGGAAGACAGGTTGGTTGAGCGACGCAGGTTGCATGAGAGACAGACGACAAGTACTTGATCAGTGAAGCAACTGTAATGTACACAAAACCCATTGTGTTTGCTGGGACCTTCTGAGATGGCCTGAAACCATTTGATCCTGTGAGCTCAGTGGTGTTGTTAGTCTCCTTTTTCCAAAATGGTCACTTTGAGGTCCGCCACAGTTAAAATGCTCTGATATTGCTTTGTCCGTGTTTTGAGTCCTGATGTCAACCTTGGGTCAGCGTTTGTCCTGCACAGAATCTGGAGAGGACTGGTCCATGGAAGGACGCTTCCCTGAGCAGAGCTAAATCATTCACCTAGATCTTGCATCCTCAGCCCAGCTTGATGGCCACAGCAAGCTGATCTCCATAAAGTAAAGAGGACCACATCAGGTTTGCAGTTGGATGGGAGACCAAAAGGAAATTCTAGGGCCGTAAGCTGGACTGGGAAACTGAAGCGTATCCTGGAAGAAGACACTGGCTAACCACTTCTGTACCGCTGCCCTGAAGACTTCTGGATGTCTCCCTGACATCTCCTGCACTCAGGCTCGGCCTGAAGAAGACTTGACTTCATTAAGCTGCAGAGCCAACTGTGGCACTTCAGATGTTGCTGGGAGTTGCGTTCCACCAATACGCACAAGCTTGCAACAACAGAGTCACCGGTTTGCCTTGAAATTGTGGCCTCCAGAACTCTCAGGGGGAATTGCATCCGTAAGCAGTCTAAATCAATGTTTCTCAATCTTGGCTAAGATGGGTGGACTTCAACTCCCAGAATTCCCCAGCCAGCACATACACCGAGAAATGCATATCGAATTTTAATCTGTGTTTGTCTCTGTCTCTCTGCTTTCTGGAGAAGTTATCACAGGGAGAAAAATTTGGGCTCGTCCGGGATTTGAACCCGGGACCTCTCGCACCCTAAGCGAGAATCATACCCCTAGACCAACGAGCCAGCTGTTTTATATGTCTTCCAGATGTTTCCTTCAGACAGACTGCTAATTATAGGCTCAAATTTCATTCCTGGCTCATGTGGCAACCTGCAGAACCAGTTACACTCCACATCCATGCGCTTGCTGCCTGTGCATTGTATGGGAGTAAAGCTCTTAACCCTTTCTTTACTGGGATTTGAACTGTCAACTGTGCACATCATCCAGGGGAAGGACAAGCATGGCGGGGGGTTGCATAAACATTTAAATGTTGCTGGATGTACTTGGGAAGAAATACAAAATAACACAACAACAATTTATTAAATTTATATGCCACCCAACTCCAGTGACTCTGGGAGTAGGGGAACTGGGGGGAGGCAGTCCTCCAAATACACATTCAGAAGTTGGCATTGCAGTCCCAAACATTTTTTTATGGGCATTTTTAAAACTCAACCCAACTAATGGACAGGAGGGAAAATATACAGCTGATCTTCTTTTAGCGACCACAGTTGTGACCGGCAACTCGGTCATTAAGCAAAGCGGTCACTAAGTGAAACTCAGTGAGTACTATGGCTATCTGGTGGTGGTCCCAAAGGGAGCAAGAGGCATGAGAAATCAGCCCGGTGAGCTCCCTGCATATTTCAAATTCAGCTGCCCAACAACCCTTACTAATGTACTTATTTGCACAGCACAAAGGATTTATAGGTGGTCCTCTTTTAGCAACCACAATTGGGACTGGTCACTCAGTCATTAAGCGAAGCAGTCACTGACTGTGCTTACGATCTTCCTTCAGCTTTCCTTGGTTTTACAGACATGCGAAGGTCGTAAATGTGAAGATTGGTTATAAAGTGACTTTTTCATCACCGTTGTAACTGCAAACGGTTGATAAACGAGGCAGTCGCTAAACAAGGACAACCTGTACATACAGGCAACTGAGTTATCTCAAAATTCATACCTGTGATGATGATAATATATTTTTAAAAAGGCCTAGAAAATGCTGTTAAAAACAGAGCGATTCTATTTTGATCATATTTCTTAGAAGTCTTCTTCCCTGCCTCTTTGCTGGAAAAAAAGAAACCAACCGTTGAGAAACAGCCACCCACCTTCAGGAATCCATCACTGCCAGTCAGAGGTAGGTTTCACCCTCTAAGCCCAGTCATGATAACTGGGAAGAAGGCTGATGACGGTTCAAGGAGACTGGGCGGCTGGGCCACGGTGCAAGAAGAAGTTGGCCCGATGACGTTTCCCTGGCCAGTTGACCAGCCTGACCAGGAGGTTAGACTCATCAAATGGAGGGATACCCAACTGGGCTGCAAAAGCCCTCAGAAGGCAGCAAAGCAAGGCAGAAAACTCTCATCCGTGGCTGCCAACTGATTTCGGTCCAGCTCAGTGGAGGGAGAGCCCATTGGTTAGGACCAGCTTGCAAATCTCTCGGATTCCAGCGTACGAGCGTGCAGCAAATCCACTTCCCCCCTTTGCTTTCCTTCAAGCAAGATTGCTAAGTAGACGGAAGCCAAGATTCTGGCAGAGCGATGTCTAAGGCGGCGTTGGCTTCTTGGGCCCCTAAGTGAGAAGCTGAAGAGGCCCTTGCAGATGGATTTCATCTTTGGTCCTGCCCACCTTTGCCCTCTGGGGTCTCGAGATCCTGCTCGGTCAGTTGCAGCTAGTCCAGCAAATGAGATTACCTTCTCAGGGAGGTTTATGGGACAGAAGGCAAGATTCTTAGACATCCCTAATCCCCAAGTTTGCCTCTTGGATGATCAGGATTAGCAGCTGATCCCAGCTTGAGCCATTAAGCGGACTTTGTCCTCCACCGGTGTCCTATAATAGGAGAGAAGGAAGTCTTCTGGAAAGGTCCACACCGGTGTGTCCCTGTCTTGGGGAGGATGTCCGGAGAAGAAGACTTCTACCTCTTTGAAAACATCTCCTCCGTGGGGCCCTGGGACGGTCCCCAGTATCACATTGCCCCCATGTGGGCCTTCCATTTCCAAACCCTCTTCATGGGCTTGGTGTTCTTTGCTGGGACCCCCCTCAACGCCATCATCCTCATTGTCACCATTAAGTATAAGAAGCTGCGGCAGCCGCTGAACTACATCTTGGTCAACATCTCTTTTGCCGGACTCCTCTTCTGTGTCTTCGCCGTCTTCACCGTCTTCTTGGCCAGCTCCCAGGGCTACTTCTTCTTCGGGCGCCACGTCTGTGCCTTGGAGGCCTTTCTGGGCTCGGTGGCAGGTAAATACAGGGCCTGGGAAAGAGCTGGGTAGCCCCCCACGTGGATCCTTCTCCCAGAGAATAGTCAGGGGACCTAGGGACCCAACCTCAGGAGACATTGCCCTGATGGGAGGAATAAGGATGGACTTGGGCCTGCCTGAACGATGTCACCATTGAGTCATCCCTAGGCTGGAATTAAATTGCATTCAATCCCATAAGGTAACTCATATACCGCTTTATCTAGGCCAGGCCTTCCCCAACTGCACCCTTGCAGTTGTGCTGGTGGCCCCCCTTGGACTTGATCCTGTTGACCGGGGACAATGTGATTTGTAGTCCAGCCCATTAGGAAGGGGCCAGGCACGCAACTGTCCATCTTGCGTTACTCCCAAGGGACCGTAGGAGTAATAAAGAAGAAGTCTTCCACCTTCTCCGTGTTTAGGATCTGTTGTTCAAGAAATACTGTCTCAGAAGATGGAGTCTCCTTTTAGCTATCATAAGTCCAGGTAGCCAACAGAGCTGCGCTGCAACGATTTTGTTTCAAATGCCCCAGATTGAGGATCCCTACTGTGGTTGCTCTGATAGGGCCATTGTAGAAAATGAGAAGTTACACTAAGCTAGAAGGTGACTTGCTTGCTTGGGGCTTAGCGAGTTGCGGGAACCCAGCCAGTGTAATTTCTAAAACCCGGTTTAAGGGTTCCTGCATTGCCTGAACTGTCCAACGGGGTATATTTAATAAGCTCTGGTCTGAGGGACAATAGACCACTTCAAATCCACTCATTGCAATGCGAAAACTGGGGTTCACCCAGTGTTTAAGACGTGCTGGGGATCTTCCAGGAGGGCTAGATCCACCTCAGATGTGCTAGATTACAACTCTCATCATCTCACGCCTGGCTGGGTCTGAAGGGCACTGGAAGTTGGCCCATTTGGGGAGCATCAGGCTTGACCTGATGACTGCATGTTGGAAAACCCACTAAAGTAAGCTGGCTGGGGAATCCTGGGAGTTGAAGTCCACACCTCTTAAAGTGGCCAAGGTTGAGAAACCCTGCACTGAATGTTAGGATGGAGGTGGAGGGTTGAGATGTGCAGGGTCTGGGGGCGGGGGGGTGTGATATTCTGGGATCCTGCATAGTCCACTTCTAATCCTTCCCTGCCCGTGTCTGTCTGTCTGTCCGTCCATCGCCCTAGGTCTGGTCACCGGTTGGTCCTTGGCCTTCCTTGCCTTCGAACGATACGTCGTCATCTGCAAGCCCTTGGGGAATTTCCGCTTCAACTCCAAACATGCTCTGCTGGTGGTGGTGGCCACGTGGGTCATCGGGGTCGGGGTGTCCGTCCCCCCCTTCTTTGGCTGGAGCAGGTTTGATGGGCATGGATAGGAACAGGAGCAGTTTCTCCTGCAGGCTGAAAACCAAAGGAGTATTTAAAAAGCTAGCGGCCGAAGCAGAAGGCTGCTGGAAGGCCCGTCCAGTCAGAAAGCTTTTGAGCTTCACAGAGCTGTTCTTCAGCTGAAGGGAAGAAGGGACCGGATCTCATGGAGTCTTAAAGAGCAAAGGGGGCAAAACCTCAGGCTGGCACAGCTTCCTGCAGGACTCCGGTTTCCATTGCTGGCTGGGGATAATGGGAACTGTGGCATGTCCGAAGCTTTGCCAAAGGGGGGCGTGGGATGAAAAAGGGTCTGGCAATGTAAGCTCTTAATTCCTGCCCGGATCTCTTTTGGGCACGGATTAGAAGACGACGAGATCCCTTCCTTTGAGAGAATCCCATGCTCCCAAATTCTGCCATCTTTGACCCCCACCCTCCCCCCTTTGCCAAGGACATGGGGTCCCATCTCCTGTGCCCCATAGAAAATTCAGGGGTTTCCCTTTTCACATCCCTGCAGAAAACAGGAATCCCTTGAAGGCTGAATAGAGAGGCTCTGCCTTCTGATTTTAAAGGACAGAATTATTTTAAGCCATCAGCCTGGGTGGTTCATTACAGACTGCCAAGTTGCCCTTTACAGGTAGTCCTTGACTTACGACCATTCGTTTAATGACCATTCAAAATTATGACAGTGCTGAAAAAAGTTACTTGCGACTGGTCCTCGCACTTATGACCGCTGCAGCGTCCCCACGGTCACATGATCAAAATTCAGACACTTGGCAAGCAGCATGTATTTACAACAGTTGCAGTGTCCTAGGGTCACGTAATTATCATTTCAACCTTCCCAGGGGGCTTCCAACAAGCAAAGTCAATGGGGGAAGCTGGATTCACTTACTTACCACATGATTTGCTTAATGACCATGGCAAAAAGGTCATAAAATTGGGTGCAACTCACTTAATGACTGCATCACTTAGCACTGGAAGTCATTAGACGTACTGTGGTCATAAGTTGAGGATTACCTGTATTTATTTATGTGTTGATTGATTGATTGATTGATTGATTGATATTTTTGCTCACTGCAATCAAGAGAATCTCAGCAGCTTACAATTGTAACAATAACATTTCCAGGGTACATTATCATGGCAGGGACACATTCTTGTATCTTTTTTATATTATTATCATGATCTTGATCATTATTTTGCACAATAATAATTTTATACATTATTATTATTGTTGTTGGTCACACAGTCAGTCAAATATTTAGACTGGATTTGG